CTGTGGACCAGCAGTTACTCAGAGGTTTCAAAGTTCTGGCTGCAGCACCTAACTTTTAATGACCTTGAAATGACTATTTGTCCTTCAAAGCTTAGATTGGAGTGTGTGAGATTCTAGAGGTTCTTGTGATCCGCCCACACTTCTCCAGCCTCCCTCCGGCACTTACACCACTGTGTTCTGCCTGGCCCCTCTCCTAGAACAAGGCCGGCCCTGTGCAGCATCCTCCAAGGAGGCCATTATCACCTCTTCAGTCAAGTGTTGTATTAACATTGCTGATGAGCTTTTGGTTACTCCCCAAAAACTGGCATAATGGGGTCCCCACCCCCAGTGACAACAAAACAAACTTGCATCTGGGGCAAATTGTATCTCCTACCTGGAGTTCCTCCCAAAGATGAGAATGGTCTCAACTTGGTCAGGTAGAGATTATTTGTGGGTTTTGATTACCTGGGCTGAAGTTGCTCCTTGACTGATGCAATTGCGTGGCATTGGCTGCCTCACTTAGCAGTGGGTAGAGAAATGCCCACGTTGCTTGTCGTGAGCCTGAGGATGGTTTTCTTCCACGGAGCAGATTCTGGGCGTGTGTTCCAGACTCGGCTTAACCACCCGCAAGTGGATGTTCTGTGTGTCCCTTGACATGATGAGACTTTTTTTAATCTGTGCAAAGAAAAAGATCCATAAAAGAAAAAAAAAAATCTCGGTTCCAATTCCTGTCACTGCTCCTCTGTGTAAAGTGTGCCATCATTTCTACCCTTTGTTGTTGGTTGTTTTGTTGTTTTTTTTTTTTCTCTATTAGGAAGCAAGGTGTATGTTTACTGCATGATTATGAACTTTTTATTTCTTCTTTGTAGGCTGATATTCCAAACAGATTTGAAATGAAACTTCACAGAAATAACATATTTGAGGAGTCCTATCGGAGAATCATGTCTGTAAAAAGACCAGATGTCCTAAAAGCTCGACTATGGATTGAATTTGAATCAGAGAAAGGTCTAGACTATGGGGGAGTAGCCAGAGAATGGTTCTTCTTACTTTCCAAAGAGATGTTCAACCCCTACTATGGTCTCTTTGAGTACTCTGCAACGTAAGTCTGGGGGATACATTTGGAATGCGTTCCGCATGGAAATCATTTCATTCTGAAATGAAACTAAACTTAAACTCTTTGAATTAATCTATTTAAACTTAATGAGAAAAAGAAGTAACTTGGTTATGATACAAATCCACTCTGCTGCTTTTAGTCCTTCTCCACTGGGGCCCCTTTTAAGTCTAGAACAGATTGTAAGACTGCATGGTGAAATACAGTACTCTGTGAACACCTCAAGTCGATTCTCCTCTTGTCTGTTGGGTTCATGGCATTGAAATTGAAATGTGTTTGGAGAATTATGGTAAGGAACAGGAGACAATTTCCATTTATAATGTTACATACATGTAAGAAGACGATTTGTGAGTGTCAGAATTCAGAAAATGTCGAACAGGGTTGGTCTCTGAAGTTGCACCATAAAGGTAAATTATGTGGTCTTTGATGAAACACGCTTGGGACACCAAGGAATATGCCTAGGTTCTGTCAGGAAGAACTAGACTGTCCCATACCTTAGGGTTCCATCATTGCCAGCCATGGGAACAAAGGCAGATGGCGTTGCTTTCTCAGTGGTCAGACAGTGGCCACTGACAACACCAACCATTTTTCTCCATGCTAAAGATCCTCAGAGTCCAAAGGCCAGCTCTGAGTTCCTAGTAGTTACTGACCTTGCCAGGAGGTATTTGGCACTACTCCAGCCCTGGACTCTAAGGAGATACGGATTCTCCTGCCCCTTCACCCAGTTCCAGTCTCCAGGGGCTTATTTGGAGGCCGCTTTAGTATGTCCTTTACAGGTGACTTCCACCAAGTGCCCAGTTCAGGGATTGGGTGTTCCTGAGTTCCGTGAGAAAGCCTGCTGTGTAAAATTGTTAAGTAGAAGACTGGTAGCATACATACATCATCTATATTCCCAAAGATAGCCCCAGAGGAGCTTGTCTGGGCAGCCCAGTTTTAAAATTGCTGATTGTAACGACTGTGAGGACAAAGAACCACTGGCTCCATCCAGGCATTGCGGGGTCTGCATTGCCGAGACAGCAGATTCTGCTCCCTGTGCTCCTCGGGCCTTCTCAGGGGACAGTGACGGTCAGATAAACTAAGGGTTGAGCCCATGGGAAAAGCCTTATCCCAAACGAAAAACAAGGAGTTAACCTGCCATCACTACGGAGAATCTGAAGCACTACGTCATTGAGAAGCTCTGCATGGGCCCCTTTATTATGTGTACTTTCTTTTATATCATCAGGATATTTGGCAGTGCCACTTGAAGTTGATATTTTCACAGATCAAAACTAGGCACTCAGCAGCAATCAATGAAAGCTTAGCTTACTCTGTAGGCACACGCCTCAGTCTTAGTAGACCTCAGTGGTTGGTCAGAAAAAGGGCTGACCAGCTGGGGAGCCCAGTTCCCACCTAGTGTAACATTTTTTGATGGCGCCATAACAGTCGTGACAGGTAGCAAAGTAAAACTCAGATCTTGAGTTGCTTTTTCAAAAGTATGCCTGAGCTTTTCTTCTCTCTCTTTTTTTTTTCTTCCCCTAAAAGGGACAACTACACACTTCAGATCAATCCCAATTCAGGCCTTTGTAATGAAGATCATTTGTCTTATTTCACTTTTATTGGAAGAGTTGCTGGTCTGGCAGTGTTTCATGGGAAGCTGTTAGATGGTAAGTTATTAAAAAGTTTTGAAACATCCAAAAACTAGGACAGTGCCATTTGTGATTCTGTTAGGTATTTTATCTTTTACATTGTAAATTATAAGTACAAGCTTCACTAGTTCTCTGTAATGCACTATGTTATTTTTATGTTTGACCCATATAACTGCTCTTTCCCCAGGATCATGTGGGACACTGAAGACAAAGTATCTACCTAGTATTTAAAAAAATTTTTTTAGGCTGTGAAGTACAGAACATTCTGTATTTGTGCATTTTGTGTTTTCCAGCAAAACTTTTTTTGTGGTGAGAATTAGATTTGGTGACAGATGGAAAAGCTAATTGAAAAGTTAATTAAAATGATCTAATCCATCAATATCCTGCCATTGTTCCATTTGCCACCAAATTATTTTTTAATGTGACAAGACTAGATAATTCCAAGTAATGTAATTCAGCTAAGACCTTAACACTATAGTCTCTGCTGAAATAAATTATACAAAATAACCTTATTCTTAAAGTATATAAATAACAAAAGAATTTCAAGTTGCATTAAGGGTTAGAAATCAACCCCATTCCTGGCTATATCATTGGCTTAGCATACAGATTTCTTATGGATTTATTTTCAAAATAAGATAGCACCCCAAAAATCAGCATGCAGAGGCCAGTGAGATAGCTCAGCGGTAGGCAGGTGCAGGGGACTGTGGTTGGATCCCGGTGCCCCATGCCATGCCAGCCCCGCCCTCAGGGTGGGCTGAGTGGGCCAAAAAAAAATCCGTGTGGAAAAATCATCAGAATGTTTTAAAATTTTCCATGAAATAGTGAGGATGAGAGACAGCAAGATTTGAGATTGACATACCAGTGTCTATAGAGAGAGCTATTTGCAGGGGAATTGTGTTAATTGGATTTATGGAGTCTGCACTATCAGTAAATAATTGATATACTCTCTGTACTTTTCCCTTTAGTAGATTGTTACTGTGAATTGCTCACTGATTTTGCTGCTCCGACCTCAGTGTTATATTTTGGAGCAGGGGGAGAGAAGCGCTTCTTTCTGCTGCAGTCTTCTCGTGGGTACATGTGGGGTGTTTGTGGAGACAGCACTAAGTCTTGGATTTTGCAGCCTCTCAGCCTCCCTTCTGCCTTCTTGGTGCTGGTGATTCATGTTCTGCACTGAGAGGAAAAGGCACTGCTCTTCCTGTGAGAGTGTGTGTGTTCTAGGGTGTGGTCTGACCTCAGCAAGCTGGTACTCAGTGGGGAAAAGGAAAATACGAAAGCAGATCACAATGCAAGGGTTTCCGCAGGAGCGAGCACACTCGGCACTCAGAGAGAAACCAACTTGGCCCAAGGCATGGGGATGGCGCCCCCTCAGGGGTGGGTAGTGTGTGAGCATTAGAGGCCAGGATGCTTTGGAAGAGCCGGGGCTGCACAGGAGTCCAGATGCTGCAGTGGGATAGGTGAGGGCAGCAGCCCTTCCTTTTGTCCCCCACACACTGCCAGCCCCTCCTCTGGCCACACCTCCTGGGACACCCTGCTTTTGCCTTGACTGAGAGCTCACAGACCCCTGTGCTATACCCCTCATGTCTGCTAGCTCACTGCCCTCCTTCCTCTCCTCAGGTCCTTGCTCATGTTCATAGATTTCTCTAGAAAGTCCCAATTTTTCTGCCCTGGCCTCTTATTGACACTGAGCAAATTAATCTTTATTTCACACTCTGATGCACAGCTGTGTCTAAGACTTGAAACCCAGTTTTTGCCCTGTTTCAGGTTTCTTCATCCGACCATTTTACAAGATGATGCTGGGAAAGCAGATAACTCTGAATGACATGGAGTCTGTGGTGAGTAAGAGGAGACCCTTTGGTGGGCCACGGCGGAGCACCTGCCCCTCGTGGACAGCAGTTGCCCAGATGTTGTTATTTAGGGTGAGCCACAGAGAGCTCTTAGTTATTAGAAATTAACTGGTCTCCCTAATTTTTGAACAAGCAAATTATTGTTCACATTTCCTAGAATCACAGTGCTCAGGATAGTTCTCCCGAATGTTACCTCTGATTATCCAGCACAGAACTTGTGCGAACAAATCAAGTCCAGGGACATTGAAGACTTAAGCGTGGCCTGTGTTTTCTGTCTGAAACTGCTAGTGCTGAAAGCCTAGAGATTCCTTCACTGTCCCTTTGTTTTCTGACTTCATAAAAAATGGCAAAGGCTAGGCCAAAACAATAGGAGGATCATCGTATAGTGTGGGCATCAGTGACACTGCAGAACAGGAGATCAGAAAGCGGATGTAGAAGAGTTCCTCCAGAAACTGCTAATAGATTTTCAAATTGTACTAAACTTACTCAGTTTCCCTGGATTCATTCTATTAAAGTAGAAAGCCGTTTTTAGAAAAGCAGAAGGTAACATTGCACACCCATTGTACCGGTGCTGCTTTTCTCCTGGCTTTACCTGCATCCTGCCCTTTTCCTTTGGAGTATGGCGGGGGAGGGGGGGTCACCTACATGCCAGTGCACACAGAGCGCCCTCGGGAGGCGTATTCCTCATGAGGGGAATTTGCAGTTCTACTGCAGTGAGAAGGCTGCTCTCCCTCCACTGGGCTGGGTGTCTGCATCTTGTGCATAGCTGGTCTCTGCGTTGACCTCCTTGGACCCGGACTGCTTCTCCTCAGCAAAGGACAGGGGAGGAGAAGGCTGGCACTGCCCTGGAACCAGCTGCTGTATATTTGGTCACGGCCAGGCTGGTGTGCACACCCTTGATACCAGTATTACTTTTCCTTTCAGCTTTCACCTTCCACTTTTTATTCTTGCTTAGAATGAGGAAGCTAATACCACAGAAGTTGTTCATAAAGTCTGTCTACCACTGGTGTTGGTGGTGTCATATTTGCAATACTGGGGTTTAAACCCAGGCCTTCACAGTGAGGTTGGGCTTAAATTGGAGATTTTCCTACCTCAGCCTGCCAATTGCTAGGATTATAGATGTGCACTGCTGTGTCAGTGGCAAAGTTTGAAATACAGTGTTCTTATTCTTTTTGGCTTTTTGAAAGCCTGATATGTTCATAGCAGTAGACCATGGCCTGAGCAAATAGGAGCCCTATGATTCCTGCCCTGGATTTTCTATCTGGAAACTAGCACAGCCTTGCTTTTTGTTTAAATGAAGAGGCTGAGAGTGCAGAAGAGGAAAGAACTTTAAAAATGGATGTTTGCTTAGGACACTGTCTCTTCCCGTTTTCTCTGTCTTCACTTGTAAAAGACAGGAAATACAGTAGTCAGCTCATGTTAAATTCTATAGACCTGGACAGCCTGGCAGGTGTGCCATGTGCCAGAACAGGTGGCTCCCACCTGCCCCATGGTCAGTTACAAACCGCTGTCACTACCAAAGGCTTTGTTTATGGTTTAACATAACAGCAAGTGGTTTGGGGTGGTGCGGGCACCAAAACATGAGTAGTATAAGGTTTGAAGACTGTACGGCATTACATTAGATGAGCTTAATTACTGAAAGGAGTTCCTTTAATGCTTAATTTTACTTTCTATGTCATTTCTATAGGATAGTGAATACTACAATTCTCTGAAATGGATCTTAGAAAATGACCCTACTGAACTGGACCTCATGTTCTGCATAGATGAAGAAAACTTTGGGCAGGTACATGTAGCCAACTTATTAGCTCTTTGGCTCTCAGAGAGCACGTTTGTTTGCACAGGCTGTGGCCCAGCTATGTTGGATGGTTAAGCTTCAGGAGATCATCACCATCTCCCCGTAGCAGCACTTCGCTGTCTTGCGGGAAACCAAATCCTGGGTGCAACGCTTTCCCTCTCCCAGAAGTTGTGCAAACTCTCAGAGGCCTCCCAGGCCTGAACCTGGAGCTCCTAGTTGAGAGCCAGTTTGAAAGCGGTGCTTGGCTTTAGAACTCAGAAATTTATGTGATTGTTTTCTCAGCAGTGTGAGTGTGAGACCATCAATAGTGATGTTCGAGGGGTGTTGGGCAGTTTTTCTCTGCTTTAGGGTTTTGTTGTCATGGAGAAATTTGTGTCATATTGATACAGGGAGAAAAACTGACCTCAGATGGGTGACCTCCAAATGATACAGGGAACCTCCAAGTGGCATAGGGAAAAATCATCTCCTGACCTGACCTGCACAACTTTGTGTTCTCTAAAACCGAAGAATGAATTTTAGGAACAAACAGAGGTTATGAGCAGAATATATTTATTGAAAGAAAGAAAGCTTTTGTCCAAGAGGGACAGGAAGGGGACCCGAGCAGGTTGTCCCCAGGAAACTATCTCTTCCAGGGACTTTTATAGAGTAAAACCATGTGGTGAGGTGGGTCTAAGGTGGTGGAGAACATGGGAACTCGCTTAGTTGGGCATGAGGTGGGACAAAACTATGGTCATCCAATGAGATTACAAGCCCCATTGCTCAGGTAAAATCGATTAAATCCAGGACCAAATCCAGGAAGCAAGTCACGTAGCAGGCGGGTATGAATACAGGACAGGGTTTCTTCCTGTTGGGGGTTGGAATATGGAACAGGGTCTCTTCCCGTTGGGGGTTGGGCTAGTGACTTACTTGGGTCTTTCCAGGTGATCCATACCTATTTAGAATATTAACCCCATGTGTTACTGTTTTAGCCTTTAGGTCTTTAGGTCTGATTCACAGCAGGAACATCCGTCCCTTCCATAGGTGTAAGGCATCTTGTCTTTTGTGCTGTCTTCTTAGAGGGCCTGGCTCTGTCTGACTGCCTATAATATTTCTACCTAACTTGGCTGCCTGCAACAATATGACTCAGGTTTTTCTGGGGTCCCTTCTTGCTTTGTCCCCACACTGCCATCAGGATGGATTGGTCATAAAATCCAATTGGTCAGGTCCCTACCCTCTTGAGGTGAAATCTTAAGAGATTCTCAGAGCAAAGACTCATGTACACCAAATGTAAAGAATTAGTGACATCAAAGAGCAAAAATTGTGGATCAAGAAAATCATCAGCTAAGTATCAGGGTTACTTCTTGCCCCAGTGTCATATTTTGGAACCAGGAAACCAGCCACTGCATGTGGCCTGGGAGTGGCTAGATCTCAGGAACTCTGTGCTGTCCTTCCCAGTTGGTTGGCAACATTTATAGAAGAACCTCAGGGCCCAAGCAGCAGAGGCCTTAGGGCTTTATGTAAATGACCACTGAGTCTATTAAAATCTCGCCCCTCCTCCTTGAAGAACCCCCACAGACAAAGCACACCTGTCCTGCCTGGGCCCATGTGGGAGGTGGCGAAGCTGCTTTCCTGCCGCTGCCCACCCACCTGCCTAGGTCACGAGAAGCCTCCCAGTGCCTCCCCGCCATCAGTTTCCTGCCTCCACTGCCTCTGGTGCTCACTGCTCTCTCCCCAGAAGTGTATGGAGCCATAGTGCTTTGGCCTTCCTTTGTCCCTCCCTTCCTCCCTCCCACTTCCTGACTTTCAGACTTCTTAAAAGACACACCTTCTCTGCTGACCTGGCACACACTGGCCCCCTTCTGCCCTCGTCGTCTGCCTGCTGCTTTCTTGCCCCACCCACTCTAGTCAATGGCCTCGTACCCACTAGGGATGCCAACAGCATCTCTCTCTACCTCCGACTATCAGTTCCTTTTCTTTAGCTGAAGCCTCATCCTACTTTCCAACTGCCCTAGTCTCCACTGCCTCCTGCCCCACTCTGTGAGCAAGACCCAGGACTCCCAGCACTCCAGCACGTTCCTCCTTCCTAGCCCCACTTCCACTTTTTCCTCAGCCATGAAGCATATGTGTCTGGAACCTCACCTCTGTTGTGCTCACTCTCCCATTTCCAGCCGATCCCTGGGCCCTTGGTACCCCCTTCTCTGTGCCTCTCCCTAGTCAGACCCTGCATGTCCCTGGGCTAAGTTGCTCTAACATCCTCCTGTCTCAGTCTTTCATATTCTCATCCTCTTCCCAGCCCATTTTCTGACAGCACCTACCTGTGCTCCCACAGGTAATGTTTCTGAAAGACAAGAACAACTTCCTGTCACCTTCAGTGTAAATTTAAAGCTTCCCGGCGTGGCTTACCATCCCTCACAGCCCAGCACTGCCCTCCCCACTCATCCTGACTCTTCCCTCCTCTTGCCTTCACCATCCCAGTGACCCAGCAACAGTGTCCCCAAATGCACCCTCTGTGCCCTGTGGCTGACTCCAGATCTCATCCCGTCTCTTGTCACCTCTGCCATACTGTCTGCTAGTCTTTGCCTGAGTTACTGTATGCCATAAGCCCTTTTGAGGCCTTCTTCCTGTCTCATTGGTTAGCAGGTAGTTGCCTACTGGGCAAATAAACAAGTAACACTGACCTAGCTTTTAAAAAATGTGAACAGTGTTGTAGGTAGAAAACATCCTATGAGAAAACAAAATGAACTGAATCTCAATGACTTGCTTTTTTTAAGCTAGATCTGTTGACACTTTCAAGTGCCAGTTTTCAAAGGACAACACATAGTGTTATAGTTTGTGCCTAGATGTCCCCCCAAAGCCTCATATAGCCATGGGACAGCTTGTAGAGTTTGTGATTCATTCATAGTCCAATGCTGGGATTATGGGTGTGCGTTCTATGCCCACCCTCGAGTAGGTTAACTGTGTACAGTGTAAGGGGAAAAGAGTCTCTCGCTCCTGCTCTCAGGCCCTTGTTGCTTTTGCTGTCTTCTGCTGCCATGGAGTGTTGCTCCTCTGCCACACTGCTCTGCCTTGGAGCCAGCTGAGTATGGACTGAAACCTCCACAAACTGTGAGCTAAATGAACCTTTCCTTTCTTAATTGTGGACATCGAGTATTTTGTCTCATCGGAGAGAGAAAATTAGGGCCAGAGAGATAGCTCAGTGGCATAAGTGCCTGCCTGACACATGCAAGGCACCAAGTTTGATCCCTGGTAGCGCACACACACACAAAAACAAAGACAGAAAATTGAAATACATAAATTTCCTAGAGCTGTGCAGCTCTCTACTTTCAACACATGTAGAAAGGATTAAAAATAAACCACAAAAGAAGCAAGATAAATCTTGCAGGTCAAGTGAACAGAGAAGCCTCTTTGTGTATCCATCATATAACCAACTCAGGGAACACAGTTGAGAATCTATTAACAGTGGCAAGAGCAGAAACAAATGAACTAAGAAATCTCCTGTATGTACAGTCAAAGGTAACTATTTTCAACTGATAAATGGAAACCAAACACAGGGTGTTGGATTTTTTAGTAGACTTCTAATAAAGATTCTGTTAATCATTATAATTAATGCTAATCATTATAAACAATTCTCAAATCTCCTTATTTAATGTCATGGACTTTTCTGACTTTTGAGTGATGTAATCAGACCCAGGAAATGAGAAGGGTGATGAGGCGTGAAAGGTGATTAGGTGCTGATTAAACTACTCTCTTCCCTTTATTAGAGCACTAACCTGATGAACAAGGTACTAATGTGTGCACTTCACATACTCGGCAGGAATTTAAAGCAAATTCGCTACTTGGCATGGTGGTGCCTCACTTCACAAAATCAATTCTCTACACGATTCTGGTCACAAACTGATCTGGACGAGAACTGAGTCAAATATAGTCATTAGGTTCAGTGTCGTCCTTATGGGAACATTTGATTCGGTTTTTGTCCAATCTGCTTTGTGATCAGAATCGTGGAAAGAATTAAGCTTGTGGACCGAGACCACACTTTGGTTCCTTCTTTCCTGTTCCAGCAGGATGCCCTGTTCACAGCCACACCCACTTCCTCACACTCGGCTCCCACTGCCCCTCCCCAAGTCCAAGCCAGTGCCTGCTCTCTCAGCTCCTCACAGGTCTCCTTGTATCTTCTGTGGTTCTTATTATTGCACAGAGACCATTTCAGTACATGAAGGAGACCATGTCATTTCTCTGCCAGAGAAACTTACCGGTGCTCACATGGTAAAGGTCTAGGTCCTCAGTCTGTGCTGTGAGCTGCCCCATGGCCTACCCTGCTGTTTCTCTGGATTTGTTTTGTATCACAGATTTGCTGCTCAGACTTTCTGGGTCAGCCCTGCTGGCCTTCTGGAACTTTTCCAGCTTCTTCCTACCTCAGGACCTTTGTTTGTGCTTTGTCTTCTGTAGGGAACAGGCTGCTCCCTTCTGAGTTCAGACATCCCTTCTTCTAGGAAGTCGGCATTTGGCCAGTCACGCCTTGGTACTTAGCTGCTTTGAAATGCATTGTTTGGTACCTGATGCATTTTGATGTGAAAATTTTGTCCCAGTACTTATAACTTGTTTGATACTTAACATTGGTTTGGTACTCAGCTTGCAGGTGTCAGTTGGCAGTGCCAGTTGCCTCATAACGAACTACTGTTTCCAGCCAATATGATTTGTTTGGTACTTGCTGTTTGTACGATTCATCCCACCTCCCATAATCAAACACCAGTATACTTCAGAGTTTCCTTCTGTGTCTTCCTAATACCATTACCATAGGGAACTTTTCATTTCTTTGTCCAGGAGTGTGTTTAGCATCTGTCTCCACCAGACTCAGTGACAGCAGCAGCGCACCTGCTGTTGGGTCATTGTCGCACTCTTGGCACTAGTTTGGCGCCAGCATGTGTGTCTGCACTCAGATAATGGTTGTTGAATCAAAAATAGGAGCTGTGGCAGGGTATCCGTCCAAGCCTCTCATCCAGTGCTCTGCG